AGTGGAGGATAGTATGGGCTGGATTGGAATTGGGCCACAGTTTCAGATGTATTCTGAGCTTGTTTATGTGCAACCTGAGTTGAAAAGGCATTGCTCTCAACACTTCAAATTAAAACACCTGCTCCTGTGAACATATATATGTATATACTTCTGCTGCTGTCTACTTACATAGTGTTTCATAAGTCTTTAACTGTTGGTCGGCCTTTGTTTCTGACTTCCCCTGCTCTTAGTGTCATATGGACTGCTGCTGAGAAGTTACTGTGTTCATATAAAGTGGCTGTGAGTATGAAATGAAACCACCCATTAGCAAGTGCTGAATGTGTTTTGAATAAGACTCATAATCTATCTTTACAGCATCCAACCCTCACACCCTTGAGGCTTTAAAGATGGACGCAAATGTTTGGAGTTTGAGTGCTGCTGTCACATCAGTAAAATGGATCACAACAAAAAACTACTATTTAAAGCCACAGAAGGAACATACTTCAGAAATTCTGTGTGGCTTCAAACCAGCACTTTTTTGGTTCATATAGCGAGCATGTAAAGAAACTACTATACTTATTAACACATTAAGACTCAAATAGTGTATCTACTGAAAGATATTTGAGTTGCTAAATTCTCCACTATGTATATCAGTAAGTTTGCCTGCTTTAGCTTTAAGGCTTTTTATGATAGATTTATTAATTTCTTTATTTATTGATTTAATTGGTTAACAAAATATCAGTACATGGTGATGCCTTCCAGTGTTTTACTATTCACTGTCTTTTTTAATCTTAATAGGACCATTATGTACTATCATTATCCTGTGTTAAAAAATACTTGAAAGTAGTAATTGAGAGTAGAAAACTCTTATTTAATCCAGTGAAAAGTTGGGTCATTTTTCTCATTGACTTTTATACAATCTCCCTACTTTCGGCAACACAAAATACCAATTTTGGATTAGTCCACATTGTTTAATTCCGATTAGTTGAAGTTACGCACATACGACCCCATATCCACCACAAAGCAATTCATTGTCCATCACCATATTTAACCATAAGTCAACTTTGTAGACTTTGCTCAACCCTGTTGTCTTTTATGTTTCTTTTGATTAGTTAGTTCTCAGTAAAAAACAATATAAGTGAACATAGACAACTTTGTCAGCTGTCAAAGTAACAAAAGTCTGAAGGTAGTAGGAAGTAATCACTGATTATCAAAATTATATACTTCATAAATTGCCTATGTAGCAACTTCCCTCTGCTTGATTTTTTAAAGAGCCTTCAACTGCGTCTTCACAATGTTCTGTCCCCTTCATCTTCTCCTTTCTGCTCTTGATTATCTTGCTGATATTCACCATCTCTACATAATAATCTCTATCATAATTTGTCCTTATCTGCTACTTTTATCTTTTAATTTGCTCTGCTTTTGAGCTCTCTTGCTACATCTCCTCTCTTGTCTAGTCTTCGCCGCCTCTTCCTTGCCTCTCGTTGCCTCACCAAACTTCTCTCCGAGCTATTTATATTGCCTGGCAGAGCAACAAAGTTCTTCAACTGGACAGAAGTTTGGAGAGGCTGAGGCTCACACACTGCTCCACAAGCTAATCTGGTTAGCTACAGTCGAACACAGCGCAAAGGACAATCCTGTGGACTTCTTATTTTCTTACTTAGTACTCACTGAAAGTTTGTATTCTAGGTACATAAGATGTGTATTTCTGGTATGTATGGTATGTGTATCAAATGAAAAAAATAATAAGTGTTCAGATACTTGATGTAGGTAAAAATAAAATGCTAAATTAAGATCATCATATGATTTGTCGCATTTCTGTGAGAACCTTTCTCAGGAAAACAGCCCTGTTTTTAGCTTGTGACGATGTATTTCCTAGTTAATCCAATTTTCCCAACATATAAAAAGAAACCCTCTTCTTTTAGTTTATCACATTCAAAATCAACACGTCTAGAGAAACAGGGGTGTCACTGGACAAGAAGTGGCAAAAAAACCACCATTTTAAAAGTTACTAAAGCTGTCAAAAAATGAAGCAACTACTTCAAAAGGGGACAGACAGTCTCTCTAAGTTATGTTTACATGCAAGGGATGTGCCAGGTTGTATTGATACAAATATAAATATAAAAAAGGTAAGGTATAAATAAATACCTTTTTAAAAACCTAAAAACATGCAGAATCTACCAACAGAACATGGTAATAGCTAGGCAGAAATGTGCAAAGATATATTCAAGGGGATATTAAAAAGGTTCACAGTGTTAAGAATACAAAGAATATGCTATGTGCAGAGATAATAATTCAAATAGATGTGAAATGATTGCATAGTTGAATCATCACCTCCCTGCAAGACTTTAACACAAAGTCAACATTAAAACCTTTATGAAGGAAGATATATCGCAGCACTGGTATATTTCACTTTTAGATTTAGTGTTTTTTTGAGTGCTTGGCTTAGTGGTATTTTATTTTGAAGGGTCCTTCCACAGACAGGGTTGAATACCTCTCATCAATAAATCGCAGCTTGACGGTAACATCCAAACTGAAAGAGCCCCCACTTTACTCTTCTGAATTAGAGGAGCAGCTCCAGGAACCAGGAACCAGTAATGCGTCAGTGCTTCCTGTGAGAAATTAAGCCTTTAAATTCATGTAATAACAGCACTGCTGCTAAACCAAGTGTATTTGCACAACATCATGAAGACTTTATCCTAAGCTGTAGTATATTAGATAGCAAAATAAAAAAGCAAACAATGTGGGACCGTTCAATCAGTCACTGAGCGCAGGATTCATTTCCTCAGACCAATCAGGTAAGGGAGTGTTTAATATAAAACACATAGGCTCAATATCCCAATGGGAGAGGCCTCACTGTGCAGCATCTTGACAGGAAATGAAAAGCTGTGGGAAATTGGCAAATCATGTATTTTAAATGTACTTTCCAGTCTTCAGGTTCACCTGTCACAGTTGAACTGTCTGCAAGGGGAGGGGTGAGGCTGAGGAAGCTTTGCGTTATCGCTTAACAAATAAGAGGGAATGAGGAATAGAGACTAAATCACATTGAAGAAAGGAAGTTTAAGTCCGCCAAACTTCCTGAGTGAAGCCGACAGATTGACTCGATCGACGTACTTCATCCTGCTCTTCCCCTCAGCCTTACTGCTGCTAGATTTCGCTAACCCCTGTCTTGGCTTTGTCCTCAGTCCCCTGGTCCCTGAGCAGTAATAAAAACAGGTAGACAGAGGGCAGGCTGGGGCACACCAATAAGGAAAGTGGGACTGAAGGGGCTGTGTGACTCATTAAGTATCAATACCCCCAAAATACCTCCAACTGCACACATACACTGAACGGTGGTCCTTTAGCAGGTGTGAGGTTAGTACGACAGTTTCCAGAGCCAGGGAGTCAAAACTAACTATGAAAATGAGATTAACATTGATATGCAATGGCTTGATTTCCACTTTAAAGATGGAACTTGGGCTGAGCTTCATAGAGAAAATCAAATCACACAATTTTTCTGATCAAATTCCTTTATATCGATGTTGCGACTTTATTGTATGGTTGACTATAAAGGCAAATAATAGAAGAGTTAAAGCAGTTAATTTCAAACTCAACCTTTAAAACCAGGATCTTTAGTCTCATAATTTTAATATCATTTCTATATATTGTGCAGTCCCATTTGGAATCGTGTTTACTGTTCTATATTACGAAAAGGACTTAAATGAGCGGCTGATGACTCTAGTTGCTTTCTGGCCTCTACATGTAACTCTCATCTCATCCACTCTGCTAAAATGTAGCCTTCCACCATTTTAGGAATATATTGAAAACGCCATGCTCTCTATTCCAGACCGATTTGTTTGTACGTGCCTTTGCCTTCAGCAGACTCAATGACTAAAAGTTATTCTGCTAAAATTGAGCTAACTACAATAATGGTTTGGCAATTGAAAAAATGGTGGTCTCACAATAAGTAATCAAACAGAAATTAAAAAAGTAGTCAACAAATAAAAGGTTGAAATGACTAATCTGTGCAGTGTCTGCTCATCTCGACAGAACCAAATTCAAGATAGAACTAATAGTTTAATGTGAGATGATATATCTGACAAAATGTACCTATTATAAACAAGATTACCAAGGTTTCCCAAGAAAGCAATTACATCCAAATTCCCAGAATTCAATCAAAATCTGGTTTGGGGATTTACTGTTTGTGCTTCTCATGGCACACCCAACACTGACTTTTAATTTAAGATGTGTAATGATATGTTATAACAGCGACGCTGGCCCTTTAAAGCCAAATAAGCATATCATGATGTCCTTCCTGCTCATTTACCATTTTCTTTGTTATCGGCGGGAATGAGGTTGCAGATCGACCTCTAGTGTGAAAATGTGCTCTTTTCTTTATCACCACATAAGGTGAATGTTAGATGACATGGTGTCCCTTTGAAATGCCAGTCTGTGATCATTATACTCTGTCCCACAACCAACCATACATCATTGCTGCGGTTCCAGCTCTGATGTGTGTACACCAGGGTGGAAATGAGAGGGGGGGAACCAAAAACTTCCCCTTGATGTCTTAAATTAGCTTTTCACATTTTAGGATAACATTTCTCGTTTCTAAATATGGCAAGTCTAATGTGTAAAATGTCGTGCCTAATTTCAGAGAGATATCATCCCCCAGGATTCACTAGATGTTCATTTAAACATGTTCTGGACTTCTGTCTGGACTTTTCCTGGTAATGTTTCGATGAAAGTATTGACATCAATATATAACAATTGTCAGGCTTAATCCCTGATCTGGAAGAATTAGTAGAGATTGTCCCAGGTCGTTCTGCAAATGTCCTGTCATACTTTACTGTAAAAACGTGGGGGGGGAGCATGTGATCAGCTGTAATAATCACATATGGTGGTCATATGAGTGTGTGCCATTTTATGGAAACAATTAAATGCGAAAGGATAAAGAGCAAAGTCTTCAGCCCAGTAAGATTTTCTTGTATCAGCTTTTCTTTTCTGATGTAATGAGTGTGACGACTGTGATGTGAACTCACCACTGGAGCAGTCCAGTCCTCCCCAGCCGGGCTCACACTGGCAGGTGTCAGGAGAGACACAGCGTCCGTGGGAACACTCTTCAGTACACAACGCTGAGGAGAAAGAAGACACAAGATTCTTTAAAAGTGTACAATAAGATACTTCTTTTTTTTTTAGCTTTAATGAATTACAAAGGACCTGTAGATCTCAGTCAAGTTTTACAATACATAAAAAGTGAGCAGAACAATTCATAATGTGAATATCTCTTTTGTTTACAGATGTAATGTGAGTCTGCAGTAACTTTCTGATCATAGAAAAAAGCCTGGTGTCTTGGTGTTATTCACAACTTCTTATTTCACCTTCTTCCAAATACTGTTTTGCTTTTTAAACATTGTGAAAACGATATCAAAAAAGTATTTTTAAATACCTTACTGGATCATAACTCTTTTTATTTTACTTTGTAATTGAATGATCTGAATATTATCATCTATCAAATGTGAAACGATGCAACTTTTCTTTATCAAACAAGCAGGCTAAAACAATGCCCTCTAAATGAGAAACTAAACGTGGAACATTCCAGATAAACATCATCTACTGTACAGCATTGTTAAGTGAAAAATGACAATTTAGCTAAATGCTTCAGCTTTGAGTGAATTCCTATATTATCATATCCGACTCTTTAATGCTCTGCACACTTCTGATTAACGAGGTGCAGCTAGTTTTTATGGACTTGTTCCCCCCAGGATTCGCCTCTCAGGCGGCATACAGTTGGCCCTAACTTATTGGTGGAGGTCGCAGGGGTCGTCTGCAGTACTAAAAGGAATCCCTGCAAAATCTGTATTTTTATTAACTAGGGCTATGGAAAACATGTGGTATCTGTTGAATGAATTGAGTTAATGAACAAACAGCAAACAGTGTTATTTAGCATTGCGTTATTAGATTTGTATCAATAAACTTTGTGATTTACTATTTATTTAGTAACCAATTCTATGATACGCATGTAATGCATTATAATACACTATAATACACTGATATATTAAATATTCCCAATGCTTTAAAACAACATTCAGAACACATGTAAAAACATGTATGACTTAATAAGGTAAAGTATCACAATATTTTTATTGCCAGTAGTCACCCACATATTTTTCCCATTACTTAAAAGCAGCCAATGACCACTAAAAAAATATAATGTATAACAATTCTAGGAATTATAATACACTATCATTCTCAACAGAAAAAACGTCAGTGTGTGATACTTGACCTTAAAATTAGAATAGTAGTGATTTAAGAATATTTTAATGCATTTTAAGTTTACATTATGGTAAGATTCTGCCGGCCTCCTGATAGAGTGCAGGGCATATTATCGTCTTTGTACAGCAACCAGATAAGGCAGCGCTGACTGACATCTTCATTTTCCCCTTACGACTGGTGTAATATTTCATCAGGACACAACCTTAAAGTTAGGAGCCGTCATACACCATTCCACGGTTCAAAACAAACGACTCTATCACAGCATAATTAATGATGCCTTGTCTCACTGTGGTATTATCTGGTGCAGCGATTAGCTCAGAGAAGGCGAGGTGGCCATAAGAAGGTGTGAGGAGGAGGAAGATAGATGGATGGAAGATACAGAGAAAGCAATAACGAAAACAAACACATTTCTCTAAAAGTGAATCTGAAAACTTCACTCCAACAAAAGAAAATATATGAAAAAGTTGAAATCCCCCCAAAAGACATTTTTAAAACATAAAAATTGATCTTTCCACTTGAGACTGTAGTATGTAGGCCTATGCACATTTTTAATAAGTTTCATCATGTATTAGCTACTTGTATTTACACTATAACTGTTTATATAGTGCTATGATCACTCTGTTCATGGATCACTACAGCATTTTTGGAAAAGTCTTGCCAAAGTTAAGTCTTCAAAAAGTTTATATTTATGTACTTTTGGGATGGGATGTGTCTCCCTACGAATTCCTCACAAGCACCAACATCATTACATCAATCCTGATTGCCTGTGGATCATGACTTGGATAATCCACCTGTCTTTATATATGTAGCTTGCGCTAAAACGGAGCATCATTCAAACACCTCTTCTTCTTTCAGAGGATATCTCTCCCTGTTTTCATGTTTTATGTTTTCATAGGCGTCACACTCTGCCGCCTATTCTGGATTTGTTTGTTGTTTATTGTGCATTCTGTAGACTCACATTTCTGTTTGAATTACTAAATGGACATCAGAAATTGGCTTAAAAGGTCTCAGGATTTATTAAAACGAAATAGCGATGAAAGAACTGCAGCCGATGGTGCTGCTGGCGACCCTGCACCTGCCGTTGCAGCAGCACGCCTTAATGTCACAAGCTTGACCTCGGCAAACCCCGGGGCTGAGTTAGCGAGCCCAATCCTTGACTCATCAAGGCGGCCACCACCGACGCTGTCCTCCGAGGCGCAGCTCCTTGTGCCCCTACCATCACCACATGCGTTGCCACACCCTGTACCACACCCGCCAGCATCCTCCTCCTCCGTGCCGGTGCCTCCACTACAGACGCTACCTTGCAGCACATCAACAGGTAGGCTACTTTGGGCCAGCAACCGCTCAAAGACCAACCGCCCCAGATGATCTTGGGGTTAATAAACCCAACCAGGTGAAACTGGATCGTTATCCAGGGAGATTTTCTTTAGGAAAGAAGCGCACTTTTGCCGCTGCATGGTACAACAACAGACCATGGCTTGAATATTAAAAAGTTAAAAGCAGCCTTTTGTTTCCCCTGTAGAAAGTTTAAAGTAGGCTAAATACGTCTTCATCTGATGCGGCTTTTACTGTTAAAGGTTTTTGCGACTGGAAACACGCATTACAGACTGATAAAGGACTGCTAAGGCATGCCGCATCAAAGAACACATTTCATGTGAGAGTTTGGAGAGAGAGAGACAGATACGCGAGGAAACAAATAAGGAAATTAGTACTTTGGTGCACACAGATCAGCTGGCACGGAACCGTTATTACGTGTCAGCTGTCGTTGATATTATAGCTTTTTTAGCTGTCAATC